TGACTGGCCAGGTTTGCACAGGCCCCTTCACTCCTGTGCAGGCCCCCTTCACCTCTGCATTGCGCCCCCTTCACCTCTGCACTGCACCCCCTTCACTCCTGTGCAGGCCCCCTTCACCTCTGCACTGCACCTCATTCACTCCTGCCCTGTGCCCCCTTCACCTCTGCACTGCGCCCCCTTCACTCCTGCACTGTGCCCCCTTCACCTCTGCACTGCGCCCCCTTCACTCCTGCCCTGTGCCCCCTTCACCTCTGCACTGCGCCCCCTTCACTCCTGTGCAGGCCCCCTTCACCTCTGCACTGCACCTCATTCACTCCTGCCCTGTGCCCCCTTCACCTCTGCACTGCGCCCCCTTCACTCCTGTGCAGGCCCCCTTCACCTCTGCACTGCACCTCATTCACTCCTGCCCTGTGCCCCCTTCACCTCTGCACTGCGCCCCCTTCACTCCTGTGCTGGCCCCCTTCACTCCTGCCCCTGCACCTCTCTTCTGTCCCAGAGGCGCCTGCAGCAGGGGTGGGAGGGGCAGTTGCAGAGGCGGCCGTGCAGGCTGCCAGAGAGAAATGGCGCTTTGAAGGGCAAAATGTCACTTGTCTGGAGCCGCCCATAGTGAAGCTGCCCCCTGCTCCACCTGAGCCCTCCAGGCTGCAAGGGCAGTTCGCTGGGCTTGGCACTGAGTGGGGGGTGGGGGTGAAGGGGTTGCCGAGGGATGGAGGTGACCAGAGCACCATGAAATTTGGGGCCATTTGATGCCACATATGCCATAGCACCCTGCGTGGCTTTGTGGGTTGCCTGTGGGTAGGTTTCACTCCTGCCCTGTGCCCCTTCACTCCTGCCCTGTGCCCCTTCACTCCTGCCCTGTGCCCCCTGTCCAATGGAGTGCCTGTCCATTGGCCGGCAGTTGTCACCTTGCCTGGGCCACACAAGCAGGGGGTGTGCAGAGGGGCAATTTGGCCACCTGGGTCGGGCCCTGTGTCCGGTTCTGGTGCCCCCCATCCAGGCAGGAGGCTGCACCGGGGGGAAGGTTCGGAGCGGAGTCAGGGGAATGCAGAACAGCTCCGGAACCCCTGTCCAATGGAGTGCCTGTCCATTGGCCGGCAGTTGTCACCTTGCCTGGGCCACACAAGCAGGGGGTGTGCAGAGGGGCAATTTGGCCACCTGGGTCGGGCCCTGTGTCCGGTTCTGGTGCCCCCCATCCAGGCAGGAGGCTGCACCGGGGGGAAGGTTCGGAGCGGAGTCAGGGGAATGCAGAACAGCTCCGGAACCGGCGCACCCAGGAGTAGGTGTCACAAAGGGAGGAGGAGGGGCGACTCGGTCCCAGTCTGTGGGGAACTGCCTGGGGGACACGTGGCTAATGACGGGCTGGCCGGCCACCAGCGGAAGGTCTAACACCCGCCACGGAAGGATGCAGCGGTCAGACCAATCCAGACGGGGAACGAGAATCGATAACCGTGGCAACAGGGGTGTGGTGGATTCGTGGCCGGGGCGAATCGAAACCGGAGGTTTTCCGGAAAGCCCTGCTCTAGGAATGATAGCTGGGTGGGTCTCTAGCCTGTGCGACTCGAGACAGGTCAGATGAGACGATCACAGTGGGGATCTAGGAGTTCCTCAGCTCACAGAGGCGGGGGCACTGAGGAGGGACCCGGCGCAGAAGCCGGAGCCTCTTGCGGCTGGTGTGGGCCTGAGGGCGGTTGGGGAAAGAGACGAACGGACACCTCCCAGCCTAGGGACCCCGGTCAGCTTGGCCCCACTAGTGAGGTGCATCTCCAATGCGGCCTCCTTGCCAGGGAGTTTCTCGGGCCTCCGCCCCGAAAAAAGTGACTCACGCCGGCTGTTTTTGCTTTATTGCAGGGCTGGGGCTGAATGAAGGCGGTGTCGCCAAGGGAGCGGATGCTCCCCACTGCCTGGGGCTGGCGGGGCATTAAAAGCAGGCGCCCCAGAGGAGGCTGGATCCAAGCCACCCAGTGGCAGGCGGGGCGTGGGGCTAACGCTGCGTGTGGAGGCGGCAGGGCAGGACCCGACTCGCGGAGACCAGGTCTGCGCGGGCCGAGTGAGGAGATAGCCAGGCCAGTTCTGCAGGAGGAGGGCAGTGAGGGCTTGGTCGCCCGGCACCGCGCGCAGCTACCAGGGTGAGTCCAGACTCTTCCAAGAGGTGGCTGGTTGCCCTACTGCAGGGTGCTGCTCCGGAAAGCCTCGCGGATTTGCACCGGGCCCAGCTTGTAGGTTTGGGGCAGGAGCCGGGGCTGTCAGGGGTGAAGGGAGAGAGAGAGAGTGTGTGTGTGTGTGTGTGTGTGTGTGTGTGTGCAGGCTTTGTTCACGTAGATGTGTGTATTTGCTATGTTCATGAGTGCCTGTACATGTATGTGCCATACATGTGTGCCCTGTGTCTTTACACATATGAGCATGTACATGTTACGTGTGTATGCTTACTTGCAGGTGCCTCTACAGGTGCTGAGGCATGTGCGTGCACACAGTATGCCTCTGTGAGTGCGTGTGCACATATACGTGATGTGTGAGTTTGAAAGGGTGTGCCACTGCATGCTTTGATATGTTTACGCATACGTGCACATATATGTGTGAGACATGTGTGCCACTCTGTGTGTTGAAATAGGTGTGTGAGCATGTATGTGAGGTGTGTGTATGTTTGCGTGTGTGTGCCTCCATGTGTATTAATGTGGCTGTGTGTGTATCTCTCTGTGTGTCTACAGGTATGTACGTACCTCTGCACATGTATATGTGTGCCTCGGCATCAGTTTAAATATACATGCATTTGTATGTCATGTGTTCAAGATGCGTATGTGTGCCTCTGTGTGTGTGTATGTCCATGAGTGTATTCATGTGTGTGCTTGTATGTGCATGTGTGCATGGGCATCTCCATACACGTGTCTGTGTTCAAATGTGTGTCAGTGCTTGTGGGGTGAGGGGAGTGTGCCCACACGTATGTTGTGCACTCACGTCCATATGCAGATACATGAGTATGGACATTCACCCGGGGGTGGTTTGACAATGCATGTCAATGTGTGTGTCGTTGTGGGGAGTGCGGGGCGGATGCAAGTCCATTTTGAAGTGCGTGTTTACATGGAGTGTGTGCATATGTTCACGTGTCTGCTGGCTGGTAGCATTTAAATGGGTGAGGGCATTGCTGTTTGCACTGGCGTTAGAATAACACCGAGTTCTTACCAGCGCCTTTAAAAAAGCTGTGGAGGGGGCGGGTCATGTCCTCCATTGCCGAGATGGGGAAACTGAGGCACTGCATGGAAGCAGAACTGGCCATGGAACCCCAGTTACCAGTGCTCCTTCTGCTAGGACCCGTTACCTACATGGAAAGGGCGGGGCATGGGCTAGCGTGAGGGGATCTGTCTGCAGGAGGGGGCCCGTTGAGTGGTTGTACCCAGCCAGGCTGGGTTTAAAGCCTTCAGCATCTGGGAAACCAGCCGCAGACCCACGAGCCTCCGTGATGCCCCGTCGCCACTATGGGGTTGTCATGAATTTCCACTGGAGTCAATGGGGCCAGGTCCCAGAGGGGGTGGGCCAAGGCGCCCATAGAGTGTGCGAGGGTTTGGCTGGGAGGTTCGATGTCAGGATCAGGATGGCGAGCAGGCCTCAGTGGGTGCAGGCGGGGGCGGGAGCGGTGTCAGCCCGGGGGTCCACTCAGTTCACAAGACCTTTTTTGTCCTCTCCCCAGAACCAGCAGTCCTCTGCCCTGCCTTCCTCCCCTCCTGCGCACCATGGAGCGGCTGGGCCTCATGCTGCTGCTTGCGGCTGCCGGTGAGTGTGTGCGTCTGCACGAGTGTCGCTCCCCAGGGTTCTGTATGCACCGGTGCGTGGCAAGCGTGGGACACACCCAGCTGTAACGCCTGTCCCTCTCCCCCTGCAGCCCTAGCGCAGGAAAACCCCCGGATGCTGCGGGGTTTCCAGTGCCAGCTGCACTCCCAGCCCTGGGTCGTGGCGCTCTTTGATGGGACCCAGTTCCGGTGCTCCGGCACCCTGATACACAAGAAATGGGTGGTGACGGCTGCACAGTGCCACACCGGCCGGTAAGTCTGCCCATGAGCTGGAGGGCCAAGGGACTGATCAGAATGGGGGAGTCCTCTACGCTCCCAGATCCAATGGAAGGGGGCTCTCCCGTCTGCCCTTAACTCTGCCCCTTTGGATGTGACCTTAACTCTGCAAATGGGTGTGTGTTTCTTTAACGCGACACCCTTGGACATGTGTGCACTTATGTGTGGCACATTAACTCTGCCCCTTTGGGTATGAGGGACCTTAACTCCACTCCATTGGGTGGGCACGTCCTTAGCTCCACCCCCGGGTGCGAATGACATTAACTCCGCCTCTTGGTGGATGTGTCCTTAACTCTTCCCATTTGTAACATGACTTTTATAGATGTCCCCTTCCGTGTGTTCATCCTTAACCCCGACCCACTTTGGGTGGATAGCCTTAACTCCACCCCCTTGACTGTGTATTCTTAACACTTCTTAGCTGCGTCTAGACTGGCATGATTTTCCACAAATGCTTTTAACGGAAAAGTTTTTCCGTTAAAAGCATTTGCGGAAAAGAGCATCTAGATTGGCAGGGATGCTTTTGCGCAAAAGCACTGGCATCCATGCCAATCTAGACGTGGTTTTGAGCAAGAAAGCCCCGATCGCCATTTTCGCAATCAGGGCTTTTTTGCGCAAAACAATACCGCGTTGTCTACACTGGCCCTCTTGCACAAAAGCATTTGCACAAGAGGACTTTTGCCCGAACGGGAGCAGCACAGTATTTCCGCAAGAACACTGACAATCTTACATGAGATCGTCAGTGTTCTTGTGGAAATTCAAGCGGCCAGTGTAGACAGCTGGCAAGTTTTTCCGCAAAAGCAGCTGATTTTGCGGAAAAACTTGCCAGTCTAGACGCAGCCCTTTTGTATGTCCTAAACTCTAGTCCCTTGGATGAGTGCCTTTAATCCCAGCCCTTTTGTGTGAGTCCATTTAACTCTGAGTTTGCGTGTCTGTGTGCGCGTGCGCAGGGTATGTTTGCCCTTAACTCCACCCCTTGTGTGAATGCCCTTAACTCCACCCCTTTCATTGTCTCATAGATTCCAAAGCCAGAAGGCACCATTCTGCCCCTCCTGCATAACTTAGGCCAGAAACCTTCCCTCAGGAATGCATTGGGGTGCTCCAGTCCCACCCCCAGATTTGAACTGGAGGCAGAAATCCCTGAGGGTATGTCTACACTACCCCGCTAGTTCGAACTAGCGGGGTAATGTAGGCATACCGCACTTGCAAATGAAGCCCGGGAAATTCAAATCCCGGGCTTCATTTGCAAGTGCGGTATGCCTACATTACCCTCCTAGTTCGAATCAGGAGGGTAGTCTAGACATACCCCGAGGGAGGGTCTCTGGGCTGGGCTGTGTAGGGGGCTTAAGCTGGAGGGACATTTCTGGTGTTCTGGGAGCTCTCTCCTGGTCCCCTCACAGTGAAGCGGAGTTTTCCCCAGGGCATCTGTGTGGCTGGCGTTCCAAGGAAGCCACATTCCCCATGACCATGTCGTCTTTCTACTGCAGCCTGTTCCACGTCCGCTTGGGGGAGCACAACCTGCGGCATCTCGACTGGACAGAGCAGCTGACCATAAGCTCCCGGGTCATCACCCACCCCTTATTCGATCCCAGCACCAGCCAGAACAACATCATGCTGGTGAAACTCCTGGTGCCAGCCTTGATCAACCGCAACGTTCAGCCGCTCCCGCTGCCCAGCACCTGCCCCATTCCCGATTCGACCTGTGTGCTTGCTGGGTGGGGCAGCAACGCCTTCCCAAAAGGTAGAGGAGCAAACACCGAACCCCTCCCCTCCAAAACAAGTCACGGATTGTTAATGAGAAGGGAATTAGACCCCCAGGGCTGGAAGGGACTTGCAGAGGTCGTCTTGGCCTCTCCCCTGCACTCCTGGCAGGCCTGAGGCCAGCCCTGACAGGCGTCTGTCTAACCAGCTCTTAGCTATCTCCAATGATGGAGTTTCCACAACTGATGCAAATGATTCTAGTGCTGAACCATCCTGCCCGTTGGGGAGTTCTTGCTAATGTCCAACCTAAGCCCCTCTTGTTGCAATTTAAGCCCCTTGCTTCTTGTCCTCCCCTCAGAGGTTAAAAACACTTTTTCTCCCTCCTCTTTGCACCATTTGATGTGCTTAGTGATTGATGCAAAGGCTCTGGGAGCTGGCGTGGCTCACAACCTCAGCATGAGTCAGCCCCGCGCTGCTGTTGCTAAAACAAACAAAAAATCGGATGCAGCTGTAGGCTGCATTGCAAGAGGCGTCGCCGGCAAGTGGCGGGAGTCATGGCTACCACGCTGCCGGCGCTGGCGAGGGCTCAGCTTCCGCACGGTGCCCAATTTGGAGTCACCTCTGTGACCAAAACCTCAGGCCAGATTAACCTGCAGGGAACAAGAGCCAAAAGCCCAGGAGGTTAAAACAGTCTCTTCTTAAAATGTCCTGTGCGACCAATCTGCCGTCGGGTCAGGTGCAAAGATCGACGTCTCGGACTACCACGCTGCCGGCGCTGGCGAGGGCTCAGCTTCCGCACGGTGCCCAATTTGGAGTCACCTCTGTGACCAAAACCTCAGGCCAGATTAACCTGCAGGGAACAAGAGCCAAAAGCCCAGGAGGTTAAAACAGTCTCTTCTTAAAATGTCCTGTGCGACCAATCTGCCGTCGGGTCAGGTGCAAAGATCGACGTCTCGGATCTTTGGCGGAAAGACCGCTCAGTGTCGGGAAACCCCGGCCCACGAGACAGACGAACCTTTTCTGGGCCCTGGCATCAGGCTACTTCCGCACTCCCCAGACGTGGTAGGGCCACCAAATTGGGTACTCTGCTCCCTCTTAAGGGAGGTCAGGATCAATGTGTGCTAGGACAATGGGAAGAACCTGGAACTGGATGGCTTCTCTTAAAACCAATCAGAAAAGAGACAGACTCACCGGGAAGATAGAAGGGGCTTTCTGAGTGCTTCCCTCCCCCCTCCATCCAGGATTACCTGACTCCCAAACCTCCCATGCTCTAGACCAGTGGTGTGCAACCTTTTTTGATCTGTGACTCCCACGCCATGGGGGCCACCAGCTGCTGGGCCCAGCCACCAGCCGGCCAGATCTAAGTGCCATGACTGCCCAGGAAGACACCCACGGGGATCACACCACTGCTCTAGATGCCCTTTAGAGAGGGACAGGGAGGGGCTGAACCCCCCGATGCATCTGGGACCATTGCTGGCTGTTGCCCTTCAACAGGCAGGGAAGGGGAAATGCAGTTTCCCAAGGGGACAGGAGGGGAGAGGACCGATTGGTGAGGGGGGACTCCACGTGGGGCAGGCCCCTGCTCCAGATGCCATGTGCACCAGGAGTCGCAGCACCACTGGTACCGTTATAAACCCGTGTATAGAAAGGATGTAAAGGCGCAGGGGCCAATGGCAGAGATGATCCAAGGGCTAGAATGCCACTGCACAAGCTCGGCCTGATGGGACTGGGCACGCTGAGTTTGGAGGAGGGGAGATGGGGGCAGGGACCTGATCATGGTCTTCACACACTCAAGAAGCTGCCATTAGCAAGATGGAGGCTGGTCGTCCTCTCTCGCCACTGAGGGCAGGACAAGCGGCAACGGGTTCAAACGGCAGCAGGGCAGAGTTTGATTCCATCTCAAGAAAAATCTCCTGAGCAGAAAGTTGAGTAGGCGAATGGAGGCTGGGGGAGGAGGTTGAATAGTGTCTGGCTGGGATGGCTGAGACACAGTAGATCCTGTCTCTTGGCAGGAGGTTGAATGATGGGACCGTTGCAGTCCCTTCTAGCCCAGTGGCTCCATGACTCTGGGGTTCTTCTCCATCCCTTGGCATCGTCCAATCCAGAGGCTGGTTTGGAAAATGCTTCCATTAAAGTTGAATTCTCAAGCTCGGACAGGGGCTACTGGGAGAGATTCTAGCCTGGGTCATCCAAGTCCGACTCTGGTGGGTTCCTAGGCTCTGCGCTGATTCTATGAAATGGGTTCCAGAGCCAGGCAAATTGTTGAGGTCTAGAACAATTTGAGATCTGGAAAATGTTCCCAAGGTGAAAATCAAGGGGAGTGCAGCCGGGAAGAAATCTGATTTGAGTTTCATGTTCATACCTTCCGAAGCTAAAAATGTGCATGTGCAGGGAGGCAGGGGAGAAGAAATCTGATCCGGGGTTCACTTGTGAACTTTCCGACATGGAAAATGCAGGGGGAACAGAAAGAAAGCCAATTTGGGTTTCAATTTCGAGAGGATTTTTTTTCATTCCCATTTTGAAATGAAAAGTGGGGTTGGAAGCGGAAAAAACCCGGTGAGTCAAATGTTCATTTCTCTTCCACCACTTTGAATTTGTTTTCAATCTCCAAGATTAGCAAATGGAGAAACTGGTCGCAACGGCAGCCTGGTTGCCGGGAAAGATTCAGTTTCAAGAAATCGGCATTTCATGAGAATCCCCCAAACAGCAACCTGCAGCTGACCTTCAGATCTGGAACCGGGGGCAGGAGGGGGTGGGAAATTTCCCACGGGTTGGATTGGCAAAGACTCTGGGTGGAGTTTTTGATACCCTCTGTAACACAGGGCCTGGATTTGATTTATCTTAGCCAATGAATTCCCTGCAGATACCAAGGTCATTTGCTTTGGCAGCACCTAGATCTGTCCTGGTCTCTTCTAGGCACAAATTGAGCCACAATCTCTGGCCTGTGCTATGTGGGAAATCAGACCAGACTAGATCCCTAATGGCCTAAACTCTGTGCACCTCTGAGCTTAGCAAAAGAACTGGAGCATGAGATGGTGTTCTCAGATGGGGACGGAGGCCAAACCTGGCAGTCGGGCCCTGTGAGGCACCGGAGTGGCACCCAGAAATAGATGTTCCATAAGAGGGGGCCCATCTCCAGGGGTAACAATACAGCTTTTGTAACAAGAGCTAGCTAGCTAGCAGGGGTGTCTGGGGATAGATAAAGAGATGTATGGGAATGGACAGACAGACAGACAGAGAAGAGCCCCACATGGCTCTCTCCCGGATCCCAGCCTGGAAATCAGATGACTCTCAGTTGCTCTCTCCCCCGAACCCTCACATCTGCAGCCAAGCGTGGCTGCATCCGTCAGCGGCTGCACTCCGACGTCATGCTCTGTGGGAACATCACGGTGCTGCCTGACGACCTGTGCCGGGACACACACCCCAGGCTCATCACCCCCAACATGGTCTGCGCTGGCGTGGTCCACGGGGGCACTGACTTCTGCCAGGTGAGGGGCGCATGGGCTGGGCAGTGGGGTGCAGGGCAGGCCAGGCAGAGCTAGGGGGCGTAGGGTGCTTGGAGTCCCCTGCTGCAGTGTGTGTATGGGTCATGAAGCCCCCTGCTGGGGCAGGATTGATAGGCTGGGGGGCATATGGGGTGTGGAGCCCCCTACTGGGGGATGATGGGATGAGTTGGGGGGTGGTGTATGGGACCTCTGCTGGGGCAGGGCGGAGGGGGCAGGCCAGGCAGGGCTAGGGGGTGTATGGGGCATGGAGCCCCCTGCTGGGGCAGGGCGGAGGGGGCAGGCCAGGCAGGGCTAGGGGGTGTATGGGGCATGGAGCCCCCTGCTGGGGCAGGGCGGAGGGGGCAGGCCAGGCAGGGCTAGGGGGTGTATGGGGCATGGAGCCCCCTGCTGGGGCAGGGCGGAGGGGGCAGGCCAGGCAGGGCTAGGGGGTGTATGGGGCATGGAGCCCCCTGCTGGGGCAGGGCGGAGGGGGCAGGCCAGGCAGGGCTAGGGGGTGTATGGGGCATGGAGCCCCCTGCTCGGGACAGGCCAGCACAAGTGTGGCGGAGGAAAGTGAAGGAATTCCCGTGGCCTGCGTGGGCCTGATGCTCAGGAGAGAGGTGAGGGGTGCATGGGATGGGGTGCAGGGCAGGGTTTCACGGCCGCCTGGAAGCCTGCAAGGTCCCTTCTTGCTCGCGCCGATGGGGGGAAGCGGCCCATGAGCACAGCTCAGAGATCCATCCGGCTGCTTGCTGGGGAGCCCTCGTGCAGCCAGGTTGGGTCGTTGCTGGGGGAACTTGTTAATGGTGCTGGGGTTAACCTGGCTGCCTTCTTTCACTGCTGAAACATCTCTGCCCCAGCCCCTCTGGAGAAGGGCCCAGTGGGTAGAGCCAGGACTCCTGGGGTGCAGACTCAGCTCTGGGATGGGAGTGGTGTCCGGTGGGTTGGAGCAGGGGGCTGTATGCCAGGACTCCTGGGCTCTGGGAGGGAAGTGGGGTCTAGTGGTTAAAGCAAGGGCTGGGGGCGGGGCTGGGATCCAGGACTCCTGAGTTCTCCTGGGCTCTGGGAAGGGAGTGGGGTCTAATGATTAGAGCAAGGGGGTGAACAGGGGGCTGGGAGTGAGGACTCCTGAGTTCTCTCTCAGGCTCTGGGACAAGAGAGGGGTTCGATGGGGGGCTGGGAGCCAGGACTCTTGGTTCTGCCATTGATCTCCTGTACGGACACAGGCAAGTCCCTTTCTGCCTTGCTTCCTCTCCTACCCTTAGTCCATTTAGCCTGTAACGTCTGGAGGGCCTGACCATCCTGTGTGTGCCGGGCCCTCGTGAGCCCAAGAGCCCAGCACACGTGCGATAGATTAACGCCCCCGTGAGTGGGGGTTACCCAAGCCTGGAGGTGCGGGACGCTCCCTCTGAGAGGCAGCCGGGCCCGGCTGAGGGTTCTTCACCTGGGGCGCTTGTTCTACTAACTCCGGGCCCTTGCTCCCCCAGGGAGACCCCGGCTCGCCGCTCATCTGCCAGCAGGAGCTCCAGGGCATTTCCTCCTGGGGCTTCGAAGGGTGCTCCCGCCCCAACCGGACGGGTGTGTTCGTCAAGGTGTGCAACTACGTCCCGTGGCTGCTGCAGACCATGAATTCCGGCTGACCACGCCTGCCGGGGGGGTGCTGGCGGGGAGACTGCAGAATAAAACACTGACAGCTGGGGCACTGCTCTCCGGTGTCTCCTTCCCACGCCGCCATGCCCGGCACTCGGTCCACGTGCCCAACCCCCCTGGGGGCCTACGTCCTGGCACCGCCCTGCCTCGCAGGAGTGCTGCACTGCCAGTTGCTCATGTCCCAACTCCAGCGGGATTCTTAAGCCTGCTCATAAGACCAGGCTGGGGAAGGGGTTGTGCCCCCCCGGGGGGGGGGGGGGGCGGAGCAGGAGTCATGCCTAGCGGTTAGGGCCAGGAAACAGTATCAGAACCGGAGTCCGGGGCCAGTTGGAGTGAGGCAAGTGGGGGGTGAGCCTGGGGACCTGTGGGTGCAGCACCTAGTGTGGCTGGTAAAACACACCGGCTCTCTGTATCACGTCCCAGCTCCCCAGTGGGACCTGGCCCGGTAGGTGTGCTCAGACCAGCCTGAGGATGCTGATGGCAGTAGGCAGAAGGCACTGCAGGAAGGGGAGGAGCCAATCCAGTGGGTGGGAGGTGCTAGGAGGAAGGAGGAGGAGCCAATCCAGAGGGCGGGAAGCTCTGGAAGGAAGGGGAGGAGCCCCAGCCAGTAGGCGGGGAGCATTGGCAGGGAGGGGGAGATGCTGACTGCTTGCGCTGCCAATGGGTGCCCAGCACCCACTATTATCTTATGGGTGCTCCAGCCCCAGAGCACCATTGGAGTCAGCCCGGTGATAACTACAGCTGGTCACAAAAATTGCTCATGGAACAGTTGGGTGTTGAAAGCCTTGTGCATGGGGCCAACCACCCCCTCCTTCTTGGAAAATGAAGAACTGCATTGCAAATGAGGCTTTTTTTTAAGAAAAAATCGAATAGAAACAGTCCACTTTTGGTCCATTAGCACTACATAAAAGTCCCTTCCTCCCAGGGGACAGTTAAATCCATAAGTATTTGTCAGACGGTCTTTTGACTGCAGCTATGCAGGCTACGCCTGAGCATTTAGCTGGCCCTATCTTGGGATACTTTTCCTACTCTGCCGCCCATCACCAGCAAGTTAAAAGAATATGGATTGGATAAATGGACTGTAAGATGGATAGAAAGCTGGCTAGACTGTCAGGCCCAATGGGTAGTGATGTCAGGTTGGCGGTCGCTTTCTAGCGGTGTGCCCCAAGGATCGGTTCTGGAACCAGTTTTGTTCAATATCTTTATTAATGACCTGGCTGAGGGGATGGATTGCACCTTCAGCAAGTTTGCGGATGACACTAAGCTAAGGAGAGAGGTAGATACGCTGGAGCGCAGGCATAGGGTCCAGAGTGACCTAGACACATTGGAGGACTGGGCCAAAAGAAATCTGATGAGGTCCAACAAGGACAAGTGCAGAGTCCTGCCCTTGGAATGGAAGAATCCCAAGCATAGTTACAGGCTGGGGACCAACTGGCTAAGCAGCAGTTCAGCAGAAAGGACCTGGGGGTTACAGTGGATGAGAAGTCAGATATGAGTCAACAGGGTGTCCTTGTAGCCAAGAAGGCTAATGGAATATTAGGTTGCATTAAGAGGAGCATTTCCAGCAGCAGATCTAGAGAAGTGATTATTCCCCTTTATTTGGCACTGGTGAGGCCACATCTGGAGTATTGTGTCTAGTTCTGGGTCCCCCTCTACAAAAAGGATGCAGACGCATTGAAAAGGGGCCAGCGGAGGGCGACCAAAATGATTTGGGGGCTGAGACACATGACCTACGAGGAGAGGCTGAGGGATTTGGGCTTGTTCAGTCTGCAGAAGAGAAGAGCGAGGGGGGATTTGAGAGCAGCCTGCAACTCCCTGGAGGGAGGTTCCAAAGAGGCTGGAGAGAGGCTGTTCTCAAGGGTGGCAGGTGGCAGAAAAAGGAGCAACAGTCTCAAGTTGCAGTGGGGGAGGTCTAGGTTGGATCTTAGGAAACTATTTCCTGAGGAGGGTGGGGAAGTTCTGGGATGGGTTCCCTAGGGAGCGGGTGGACTCTCCATCCCTAGAGGTTTTTCAGTCCCGGCTTGACAGAGCCTTGGCTGGGATGATTGAGGTGGGGTTGGTCCTATTTTGAACAGGGGGTTGGATTCAATGACTCCTGAGGTCTTTGCCAGCCCTAAGAACCCCCTAACTGAGGTGCATCACCAAAATTGCACAGGGGAAACATGCACAACTCCTATTCATACTATAGCTGGCTTGGGAAACTTTTATAAAAATTGACCCATGGGAATCAAGAAGAAATATACTGGGGCCGGGATGTCTCAGGGATTGTAAGAGAGCATAGAGTCCTATTAGAATTCAGTTCCGGACATTTCGATAAGGACCAAGGGTTGGTACAATCTGTTGTCTGTTTCGTGCCCTTATAAATTGCCTATGGAGGTTGTGGAATCTCCATCCGTGGAGATATTTAAGAGCAAGTTGGACAGACACCTGTCAGGGATGGATCTAGATGGTGCTTGGTCCTGCCGTGAGGGTGGGGGACTGGACTCGATGACCTCTCAAGATCCCTTCCAGTTCTAGTGTTCTATGAATCTATAAAACCATGGTCTCTGGGCATCTCACGACCTTCCTTCCCCACTGGGTCCCCCACATACTGTGCTAATGTGGGATGCCTCAAGGCAGGGTTTATGGCTGGAAAGTGACCGTGAGTGTTTGACACGAGAAGCAGTGAATTGCTGCAGACTGGCTCGTGAAATGAGCGACTCATCACAGTGGTGATGACATGTTGCCAGGCAACGCTTGAAACCAGTGACTCCCGAACGGTCAGCAAACTCCAGATGCTTAATGGATCGTGGAACATCTGGCTGTCACTTTGGGACAATGTCAGTCAATTCTTGGCCTGGCTGTGATTGGGACGCCCATTGGAAGGCACCTGTACACCCACAGATCTATGTCACTAAGACCAGGCCTTAGATGGGAGTGGGGCCTAATGGTTAGAGCATGGGGGCGGGGGCTGGAGGTCAGGACTCTGTCTGCTATTCCCAGCTCTGGTAGGTGAGCTGGGTCTAGTGTGCTAAAGCACAAGGGGGCCAGGTGTCAGGACTCCTGGGACCTATCCCTAGATCTGGCAGGGGAGTAGGTTCTGGGCTAGGTGTCAGGACTCCTGAGTTCTGGCTCTGGAAGGGGAACAGGGTCTGGAGCACAGAGGACAGCCAGGCTGCTCCAAATTGCCCATGATATACCCCATGACACAGCCAGACAGCAGTGCACCATGGGAGATGTAGCCCAGCCAAAGAGTGCTGTTCCCATAGGGGAATGACAGAATGAACTACAACTCCCATGAGGACTTGGGCTGATGCACTTTCATATTTACATTGCCCTTTGCCTGACGGACAGTTCCCACACTGCAGCACAAGGCCTGGGAACAGCTGATTTCATGGAAACCACCAGCTCCAGTTCTGAATTTAAATCCCAGAATGTAATGGTAAGTGGAGTTGGAATGCGACCCGTTCCTCCAGCTGAGTGTGACTCATTTAACCAAGTGACATTGAAGCTACTCACAATCACTTGCAGAAACAGCAGGAAAGTGGCAGGAGGAGCCATTCCGGCTGTCTTCACTAGGGAGCACCATCTCCAGGAGAGACCAGGTGCTAGATGCACATACATAGCTCAGGTCTAGGTCTCCTAAGGAAGCCAGGGAGGAAAGTGTGGGGAAGAAGAGGTAGCAACAGGCAGATGTGCGAAAGGGGACAAACAATGTAACATCTGTACAAATCTGTAGATTTCAAAGCATTTACCCCAGAGGATCAGTACCCTTGTCTAGATGGGGAAACTGAGGTACAGAGGGACAAAATAACTTGATGGAGGTTGGTAGCAGAGCCAGGAATTGAATCCATCTCTTCTGAGCAGAATTTTTCAATGCCGTCCCCCATTTTTGACAGAAAAATATAAGTCCGGTTGATCAAAATAGTTTGCAAATTCACATCAGTTTCATTGACTCGCTTTGGTGGGACGGGGAAAAAAAGCCCCTTATACACATTTTATTTGGAGGATTTTCTAAAGCAAATGTTTCCCTAGTTTGGAAATAGCATATTTCCCTATTCAGTCAAAATGCATTTTTGTTTCAAAGTTGCCTTCCAGTTCATTTTGGCAATAGTTTGGGAATCTGAAACGGGCTGAAATTGGGTCCTTTGACCCAAAATGAATTAATTATTTTTCCTCAACATTTTGAGTTGAGGAAAGACGATCAGCTGATTCAGCACAGCATGGCAGTCTAGACGTGGATCTGTCGGCTGGGGAAGCCTTTGCCGACCTGTCCTGTAAACCTCGTTTCACGAGGCATAAGGGATCAGTTGGCAAAGGCTTCCCCAGCCCACAGATCCGTGTCTAGACTGGCGCGCTGTCAGATCATCTGATCTTCGGCACAGCTCGAGGGCCATCTTTATTTTAATGAAGCGG